TGGGGATAATTATCAGAAGAATTTCTAGGTCAGAGGGTATGGATATTTTAATTTGGGTATCTTTTATCTTTGGTTATAGGACTGGTAAAAGAAAGTCTGGCCATAAGCGGGGTGGGGATTTAGCTTAGTGGTGCCGTGGGTGGGTGGGGGAAGACAGAAAGAAAGAACAAGAAAGAAAGTCTAGGCACTAGCAAGTAGGAGGTGAGGCTAATGGGGGAACCAGATGTCACAATGGTTGACTCTGAACGTGAACCCGGTTTCTTTCTTTCATTCTAATACAAGGGTCTGTAATTTACCCACTAATTCTGGTAGGGAAGCAGCCTCTTCTCAGAAGTTCTTTTAGGGAGGAGGGTAAAGATGATGAAACAATCTGTCATTTCAGTAAGGACTGCTGGGTTAAAAATATTTATTGAATAATTTGTTTAAAGCTTTCTTTTGGTCTTTGCCTATTCTTGTAAGCTAAAGACAACATTTCTGCAATACTTCCATATATTCTTAGACACTTACCAAGAGCAATTCTCCCTTTCAACTGACCTAGAGTGATTATAAATAACACAAGTTAAATTACTGAGTTGACCAGCTGGCATCAACCAACAGCTGAGGGTTTGTCACTGATAAGTGGGCCTGTAAGGACAACCATATCACCTCTAATGGTAGCTCTCAAAGTGTGGCCCACAGACAGTCACCACTGGGCAGCTCTTAAAAATTGCAAATTATTTGGTCCTCCCTCTTAGGACTATTGCTTCAGAAATGGAGGGTAAACCAGAAATCTGCATTTTATTTTTTTTGGACTTTTTAGACAGGTTATTGCTTGGTCGTTCAGGCTGGCCTAGAACTCACTAGGTATCCCAGGCTGGTCTTGAACTCATGGTAATCCTCCTGCTTCAGCCTCTGGAATGCTGGGATTGCAGGTGTGAGTCTGTAACCCCAGGTGTGATATAGGCATGAGTCTGATGCAGTGTAAGAACTACCAGACCAGACACCAGAAGATCTTGAGAATTTCTTAGGCTGCTTCACAGGATTTATGAGGTACAAGGAGAGGAAAGCAGGTTCTGGTCAGGGAGAACCTGCTGGATTCTATCAATGCTGGACTTTATAGAAAGGGTCACTGTGATTTCTAGGACCAAGCAACTTCCTATCCATTTCTCTTTGCCCTCAAACTCCAAGATATATTTATGCTTCCTGTCATAAATGGCTATTTTTATTGGTGTTGCCCAACCTGCACAAAACCTATGTAACCAGAGGTGAAGATTCTGATAGAGAATTTGTCTTTTTGACCAGAGGTAGCTGGAACAGCAAGGTCTGAACCTAAGTGGCCTGAGAGCCCAAGACATTGTATATCAAAAAAAAAGTATATATGCACAAATACATTTCTCTGGAAAAGTGTTCACAGCTTTCACCAGGTTCTCAAAGAGATTTCTGATGATTATAAAAGCTTAGAAATAAAACCAAACCCATTGACTAGAAAGCCAATGATACCTATTCCAAGGTAAAATAAATATTGCATAAATGTTGAATTGTATAGCTGTGTATTAGGTACATCCACAAGTGCAAATGACAGCATGTGCTGTGTCAACATTGGGGAGCAAGATAAATGTGGGGGCGGGGGCTGCACTTCCTAGTGTGATGTTCTAGGGCTCTAAAAGCTGGGGCTTTCACAGTGAAGAGCTTGACTCTAATCAAGGACAGACTTATGAAGAGGATGTCTTATTTCCATTAGGCAGTATTCTAGAAAGTTTACAGACACTCTCTGATTTAGTTATCAGAAATGGCCCTCAAAGAAGGCAGTTTAGTTCCTGTTAAGCTGTCAAAACCACAGTTTTAAACTTATCCCAAAGGGTTAGTGACAACTCAATTCCATTACTACATTTCTGAAAGTCAGTTTGCAATGGTCTCATTCAGTAATTACTGAAAAGTCCATCAATCCCTATACACTCTGGCTTTTGAGCATCTGTTGGTCTCTGACCTCTGTAGTTCCCCAAACCCCCCAAAATCAGCAATCTACTTTATTCAGAAAAGGTAGATCTACTTACAAGTTGGTCTCCCCTGTCTACCAACAACAAATTCAACTTTCTGTGTCAGATATTAAGTACTGGCTTCTTCCTTGACAATAAGGTTCCACAGCCAATAAGTAGTCTGGAAGATTGGGGCTCATGACGTCTGGACTCCAGAAGCCAGGGTTCAAGTCATTTTATTTCCCCAGAGCGAACAGCTGGGCATTGGGATTATGACTATGGCGGAGATGGCTTCCCTCTCTTTTGTTGGCAGTAGGAATGTTGTTTTAATACAATATACGACAATTTATTGCTACTCCATTCTATTTTTATTTTTTTTATGAATGGTTATGTCTCTGAAGTTATGCAGTATTAGTCATCAACTTTTATAACCAAAGGGTTTCCTTTTTTTTTTTGGAGCCAGGGTCTCACTAAGTAGTTCAGGCTGACCTTGATCTCACTATGTAGCCCAGGTTGGCCTCAAACTCACGGTGACCCTCCTGCCTCGGCCTCCTGAGTGCTGCGATTACAGGTATGCACCACCACACCTGGCCTCCATATTTTTAATTGAAACAAATTTACAATATAACTTCTTAAATGCTAACTAATAGTTTCCAAAATAAATAACAGTATATTTTTATATTACTAAGACAAAATAATTAAAAATATATTTATATAACCGTTTATATTATTTACAGAACACTATAAGAAACAATCCTACAGAACACATTTTTCTGTCATTAAATCACCTTCATTGATATAATGAACTTACTAGCCTTTGAATATACCAATAAGGAAAATAAATCCTGCACAGTATTTGTCATAAATAAAAGAAAATAAGGCAAACAATATCTCCCCAAACTGAAAGGAAAAATACCATTTTCATGGGAACTTAAAAGTCTGAAGTTCTTTTTGTAAGGACAATATTCTCTACAATGTTTTCCCTGGCTTTCATTCCAATATTTAATATAAAGCTGAAAATTTCTGGTTAGTAGCTTGACCATTTTAAACTGTGGGCAAGCGTCCTGTATATATGGCTTAATATTTTTTTAAAATTTTTAATTGCATTTTAAAATGTCTCAGTAATTTGGAAAATAATATGAAAAGAGATGGAGTCTAGTGAGGCTGCAAAACTAGAAGAGAAGATTGTAGGAAGGATGAGACTAAGAGCAGTGTAAAGAGCTCATTGCAGAGAAATAGATGTAATGCACTGGGGAATTTCTACCGAAAATGAGCATACCCTTGGTGCTCATATGCTACAAGACACCAGACAAGAATACACGTTTAGCAAGGGATGGTCCTTCCAACCTTTAGCATAGTGCTTTAAAAACTAAATAGAATTCTAAAATTTGTATTGGTTTCACATAAGTTAAAGAATATCAGAAACCAAATATGGGACTTGATCTGGAACAAATGGTAGTTTCAGGGCACCTTGCTTTCAAGTTTTCTATTACAGAAGATTCAAGTGAAAGCATGCAGAAGGGTACTAGAACTTTTGACTAGAGGCTTTGATAGTCTACAGAATTAAACCAATGAGCACTGGTGTCAATTTCACACAGAGAGAATTCTGAATAAACCCATAAAAACAGACAATTCTAAGGGGACATGAAAGTTAAAGAATTCAAGGATTTGGGGTAATCTGTTACATGTGATGATATGATGCATGCAAGTAAATGAGGTGAAAGGTTAACACTAAAAGTTGAGGCCCTCCCCATCATCAATAGGAAAATTGCAAGAAACAGCAAGAAATGGTTATCAATAAGGACCCAAAGACCCAGTAATTATTTTAATCTAATAAAAACACAACCAAAAAGCAGATATGGTTGGACATATGAAATACCATTCTTTATGGAACACAGCAAATTTATATTGGATTTTTCCATTTTTTTATACACAGAAAATCAAAACTGCTAGGTAAAACAGACTTTACAAATGGTGAAAAGAAGCACAGTTGGTCTCCAAGTACTGTGTTACTCCTTTTGAAGGAAGACATCAAAGCTCAAACTTTATTCCCTCACCCAAGCACCTGGTGGAAGTTACAGTGTAAAGGAAGCCACGTAGGGAATTCAGACTGTCGTGCAGTGCTGGAATGGCACCTTTAACATTTATGGAGTTACCAATGGGTGAAGTTCTATGGTGCTGAGATCTTCCTACATTCCTTGAGCAAATCCATAAACAGGAGAAACAACTGAGGCCAGAGTTACTAGAAACTAACTAGAGGATATGTGACTGGTCATTACAAGTTCCAACCTCTTTCTCATGCACAACTCTCAGATTAGTTGGCATTATAATATCAATTCCATTCAATACTGAAAGAACTGGTAAGACCAAGAGAAAAATATTTCAAATTTGTAAGAAGTGAACCTCAGATGAAAAATGAAATCACTCTAAGCTGAACTGTTTATTTTCAAAAGTCAGAAGAGATGGCACAGATGCTAGCATAGGGACCATTCTTTCCGCACTACACTCTCTGCCTCTCCTCCTTTCCCTCCTCATCATTCACCTCTTGTCATACTTTTAGGAAACTGATAAATTCCTTACACCCTGAAATGTAGTTTGAAAATTAAGGTTTAATAGGTAAATAAGGCTGAATCTTTCCTAGAAAAAACTCTCCCATAAAAGCAAGACTGAGGGTTTTATTCAAGAATATCCATGGGTATTAATAAAAATAATAAAAGAAAATAATCTAATAATAAAAGGATTAAATGAATTACAGAAATCATGCAAGTCAGGAATACTGTTAAATGAAAAAAATATATACAGCTATATTTACAGTATGGTCTCATTTTTAGAAAGATATATATATCTCCAAAAAAAGTTAAGCCAGAGGGGATTAAGGAATTGCTTTTGTCTTCTTGGAGCTCTAGAAGCTTTTATGCACATATTTCAGGAAGCCTGCTTAACAAATGAACTTACCCATTTGTAAATTTTTTGAACATTCTTTTTTACCCTAATGTATTTTTATTTCAGAGATTGCTTAATTCACATTAACCATTAGTTTGGTACCTGAGAGTCTTCTGCACAGAATTCTCTTATTTCACTGCTAAAAAGCGCATACTAGAGCCTGAAAGTACAAAATGAAGACGGTTCAGTTTGTATGAGCTGTTACTTTTCTGTATACATTAACATACTTCTAACTTTCCAATTTCTTCAATAAGGCCTTGAACATTAAAAGTTGCTCCCAAAACCTTGTTCCTCCCCAACAAAAATCCCTTTGAAGACTGTAAACAAAACCACAAAAAGCAAAGTGTTAACAAAAGACACTAGGTAGTATCTCTGAATAGTTCTTATTTAGAAAATAAGACCATCAAAGTACTGGGAAAAAAATCTCTGGTGTACACTTGTGGCTTGGCTTTGCTTCTATAGATCTAAGGGTTGTGCCACCTTTGCTCCTATGACACTCGGTACCCAGACTTTATTTTTATGTCAATTACAATTAAAAGAGGAAAGTGGTTTTCCTTTTAATATTTGGAATCTATTTTACAAAAAACTATCAACTAGCCTTTCATAATATATGACAGCAAAATATCTTGACTTAGTTTCATTTATGCAAAACTATAAAATGCATTTTATTTTATTATATCTGGGGATAACGAAACAAAATCAGAGCATGTGCTGGCATGTTAACTGTCTTGCTAATTAAATCCAACACTTAATGAATCAATTCATTAGCAATAAGCCAGTCTACTACCTCATTAATACAGATGGCTAGTATCAGGAAAGGAAGGACAAGAGAACCTCAGCAAGTACAAAAACAACTGCAGAGTATTTCAAAGTACTTAGAACTTAAGTTTCCCAAAGATTAAAAGCAAACTCAACTTACTAACAATAAAAGGAGGACACTGACAAAACATATTTTTAAAAGCCACAAAGGTATGTTGGTACAGTGGGGATAAATATAAAGATAAATGTTTATTTGAACCACACAATATTTTCTTACTAGAATCAAAGAATGTAAAAACATTTTAGAAGTTTATACACAAAAGCTGAAGATGGCATAGAAATCCTGGTTTCTTAACTTTTGAATTGAAGATCTGCCCAATTTGGTATACAGCAATCACTCAATAAAAAGTAAATTAATTGTTTAAAATTAATTATTAATAATAAAAATGATTAAACACTTCATTTGCCCATAGCCACTTGTATGACAAACTTCAAAATAATTGTATAGTACTAGGAATAGGGCTGTCAGATAAAACATAATATTCCCAAATAAATTTTAAAAAAGAATACTTTTAAAAGTATAAGTACGCCCCACATAGTGCATAGTACTACATAGTACAAACATATCCGGTGTAGTATTTGAGACCTACTAAAAGAAACAAACAAAATTACTGTTTATCTGAAATTCAAATAAAAGTGGGCTTCATCCTTTACTTTCATTTGCTAAATACTGAAAGAGAAATACACTACTCCAGATCCCAGCTTTAAACTTCACTAACAGACTCCCTTGGGGATCCTAGCTAGGAAAAAAGCAAGTCTTTGTGTATTCAAAGTGGATGCTACAACGAATGCGCGTACCTCATAGCGAGCTCGGACTCTCAGGGCCCGCACACTGGTAATCCTCATGCCACATCTACCTTGCCTATATATTTTATTTGCTATGCACATTATTTATTTTCAATTAGTTATCAGTATTAAAATGGAATTAACAGATATTAAAAACATAATTCCAGGTTCTGGTCTTTTTTTCTTTTTTTTAATATTGGAGATTCTGATTATACTGGGAACACATTGCTATCTATTAACAACAGGATCTGGATGGTTGCTTCCTTAGACAAGGTAGGCATGTTCCTGTTTACAGTAATCCTTACAATACTGTTATCCTAATATCAAGCTGAAAACAGTATTAATTTAATGTGACTACAGTATTACTAGATGAAGTGTAAAACCTGTTGTCATTAAATTTCACCTAAACTCATTTTGTATCCATTCACTTCATTTCTTTTACCTGGCAAGTCCCTTACAGGCTCTGAGTTCATGACATGCATTCTGTTACATACATACTTTTCATATGTATTTCTCTCCATCTCAAATTAGTATATGGAGAGGA